TGGACCCCATCGGGATAGTTCTTAAAGAGCAGGATGCTCAAGGCAGACATTTTTAATCAGTGAAGCTATACCAGTGTTGGGTTTGAGGAAAACTTCAGGGTGCGATCCGGTTGTTTGAGGGCTTCGTAGACGTCTTTGTGCCCCTCAAGGTCCTAAGTCCAACCCTGGGTGTAGCTGTCTTAATATGCCCGGTTGTGGAGGCAGTGCTTGGTTGGGCTCAGATTTGCGTGGGTCTGCCTCAGATGTGCCCAGCACACAGGGCCCATGACAGGTCCAGAAGGTGGGGGGACTCCTGACTTCGGGGTCGGTGCCTGTGGGCCTCGGGGGGCGGGCTTCTGCTCGGGACTCGCTCCTCATTGGCTCTCTGCTGCCAGAGGGGCGAGGCTTAGCGTCCACTCGTCCAATGAAAATTGCGTCCGGGTGACTCGCTGGCTGAGTTCGCGGGGTTCTTGGGAGGATGCTTTAAAGACAAGAGCTGAGAGGACACCCTCCAGCCGCCTGGGAAACTAGTAATAAACTAAACGTGGGCGCGTGTGGAGCGCTCACTACTGCCAGGTCCCCTGCTGAGAAGAGCTGCACCCCGCCTCACCGTTGGATTCTCCCAATTGTTGAGCCAAGTGCTGGCACCCCTATTCTGATGAGACTGAGGTCACTCACTCACTGCCACCAAGTGCATTCCAACCCATAGGAACTGTATAGGACAGAGTAGTACTGCCCTTGTCTGCCTCCCAGGCCGTCACTCTTTATGGGAGCAGGAAGTGCCCTGCTGACCACAGGGCTTAACCCTTAACCACCAGGCCACCAGGGCTCCCTGACTGAGGCCCGGAAGGGAGCCTGACCATGCAACTTGTGAGTGGCATGCTGTTGTAGAGACCAGATGAGACTTGACAACCACGCTGTGTACCCCCCCTGGCCTCGGTAGGTGCCCGACACACATTTGAAAATGGAGAAGCTGCAAGCAGGCAGAAGTAGTGGGACATGCCAGACAAGGGGCACAGACATACATAGTGGTTCAGACCCCACTGTTGAGCTCTGCTGGTTATGGATGTTGATGGTGGTGTGTACAGACTCTGACTCACCGCAACCCGTGTGACAGTCACAACAGTCAGCAGTTTGAGCCCACCAGGCACCCTGATGGGGGGAGATGAGGCTTTCAGCACCTGTAAAGATTAACAGCCTTAGAGGCACACAGGGGTCATTCTGCTGTGCCCTGTAGGGTCCCCAGGAGTTGGGATCGACAGGGTGGCAGTGAATTCCTCAAGGTCTGAGAAAGCTCCCCCAGGCGGTACCTGGTTTGGACTTGGCTTGAAGAGTGGTTTGAAGCCAGGGTGGGGAGGGAGAGGCCGTCCAGGGTGGGGTGGGCTGACAAGGGGGGGGGGTTGTCCTTGGGCCCAGGAGACCTTGGGACAAGTTGTATCTCACACACAGTAGGTGCTTTGGTTGATCCCTTAGAGGTTTACATTTTGAGACTTGTGAATGACAGGCGCGGATGAAGTTGATGGAGATGATGATGGTGATGCCCCAGCTGTGCTGCGCCCTTGCTCTAAGCTTTCCACTTACCCAGTTAAATCTTCACAACCACCCCGAGAGACAGAGATGCCTCCTCAGCCCCGTTTTTGACGTGGAAACCGAGGCCGAGGGAAATGAAGACATTTGCTTGGGGTCCCCCAATGGTCATTGTCAGAGCCCCAGGAGGCGTGCCTCCTGAGCCTGGCTTCTGAGTCTCTGGCCTCTCTGGCCCAGTCCTGGGAGAGTCAGCTCACACAGAAGTCACATGATCTCTGAGGAGAGGCACGGTTTGTGTGGGGGACAGACTGGCCACAGAACAGCTCCTCCGCTGCCCCCCAGCGGTCTGACTTTCCCTCTCCTTTTGTCCCTCCCAGCTGGGCCCCGGCCGGCCCCTGCCTGCCTTCCCCACCTCAGAGTGTACCTCGGACGTGGAGCCGGACACCCGGGAGATGGTTCGAGCACAGAACAAGAAGAAGAAGAAATCCGGAGGCTTCCAGTCCATGGGTGGGTGAGCTGATGGCCTGGGAGGGGGCAATGACAATGGTTCATCATACCCTCTGCTCTTGGTTACTACTGTCTGCCCTGGGCCTGGCATGTGGGGGTGGTCGGCAGGCCGAGGTAGCTGATGTGAGCATTCAGGGCAGGGGCTGCC